ATAGTTTTGAGGCATGTCTGTGATTAGCTTTTTTTTTCTGCACAATTAAACAATTGAAAGCAATGCCCTGTGTTATAAACAGGGATGGTTCCATTGCACTAGTCTGTAGGGTAAGGGATGGCAGAAGGACATGATGGTGAAAGGGCCTGATTTGGATTGTGGTGGCAGAGTATTGGCAGGAAAAAGAAAAGGAGGGGACCCCTGCATCGCGTTAAGTCCCGTGACATACTGGGCACTCAGTTGGCTCCCTTCCACGAAGAAAGAAGTCCCCACCCTCCCTCTCAAATTTTTGTTCCTGGGTTTTGTTGTTATGGCTTTGCTTATGACATAAAAAAAAAAATGAATAAATACACAAATAAATAATAAAAAAAAGTGCAGTATTTATTCATGGAAAATGAATAAATAAATGGAACATAATAACTAATTAAGAAGCAAATTATTATTCTTGGTTCCAGTCATGTATGTTTGTTGTCACACGGTCTTTTTGACACAGCTGGCGTTTATCCCTTTTGCGGGCTGAGGTGGCAGGTGGCTGGTAGAGGAGGTGGAATTGGTAGCAGGAAGCCCAAGTAAGCCCCGGAGCCTAACCTGGGGGCTGAATTGGCTCCTGCTAAGAAAGAAAAGTGGAGATACGCCACTCAGCACTGTTTTTAGATATTATTATTATACAGGATTTATATAGAACCAACAGTTTGCTCAGCGCTTTACAATATAACGGGAGACAATACAGCAACAATACAGATCAATACAAGAGGGATTTGAGGGCCCTGCTCCTTGGAGCTTATGTTTTATTGGTCGATTGTTCATTATTTACAGATATCAAGCTGTGGCAGATACTTAAATAATAAAGTATCAACGCAGTTAAAAGTTGTCAGTGTGGTTATTTAAGTCAATCTCAGGGAGAAGTGAACAGTGTACCAGTCCTGAACATTTTCCAAGAGTGGTGATTCCATACTTTTTGCCAGGGATTGTATTGCTATAGAAGGTTATATAGCTGACCAATCTCATTACGCTCTGATTGTACATTCTCTTTCCATCATTTATGTTGTGTAAGAACCTGTTTCATTTGATACAAATTAAATAGATTGTTTAGATCTGTCCTCCTTGTACATAGTGTATGACCAACCTAAAAGATAATGTACAATCAGAATATAAATGAACACTAGCTTTAGTGGTTGCAGGATAGCAATTACAGGCACTGGCAGATCACCTAATGACCAGATTTTAAATTCAATAGGAAAATGTTTAATCAAATTGGAAACTCAGATTGCCCCATATATGGTGTGTCTTAAGTACACACCATACAATCTGATTGTGCAATTTCCTTTAAATCTACCATCAGTTATCCAGTGCAAGGGCCTGACTGGCTGGATATAAACTGAACAGATTGTTTAATTTTGTTCTTCTATTACCTAAATTTAATTTTAGTAAATCTAAAGATTGTATGGAAATTGTACAATGTGATTGAAACATCTATTGCTAGCTTTACAGCAAATTACTCCTTAATCAATCTGTCTGATACCAGGCCTGTGTAAAGGCCCCTTAAAGCAGTATTAAACCCAAAAGCAAACACTTATTATATTGCAGCTTACCAATTCTTAGATGTGATGGCTGCATCAGTTTTTTCTTTTTTGGCTTTCTTTCTTCTCTTTAGATCTGTGATCCACCCAGTAAGTCTGTTGTTCAAACGCATGAGCTCTCCAGCAGCATGTATGAGATGGGATTACAGGGTTGAGACAAACCATTTTAACACTGGCAGGGGTGCTTACAATGATCAGCTTTTATTTTTTCATGTAAAACCTTTATCCCCAAAAAAAACAAATGTTTACTGTAAATCTATTATAAGGCCTCTTGCATACTGCTGCTGCCTGTTTTCAGGCGTACAATATTTTTTTCTTTTCTGACCTAAAATGCAGCCTATTGTTTTAAATGGTTGGCTCTGAGGAAGAGGCTGAGTCCTCGAAACGCGTCAGTAAGTTGGTCACCCAGAGTTCCATCTTTGTGGACTCAGATGCTATATGGATTGAACACCTTTGTCATTATGATAGGTTGGCTCTGAGGAAGAGGCTGAGTCCTCTAAACTCGTCAGTAAGTTGGTCATCCAGAGTTCCATCTTTGTAGACTCAGATGCTATATGGATTGAACACCTTTGTTCATTATGAAGGGTTGGCTCTGAGGAAGAGGCTGAGTCCTCGAAACTCGTCAGTAAGTTGGTCATCCAGAGTTCCATCTTTGTGGACTCAGATGCTATATGGATTGAACACCTTTGTTCATTATGATAGGTTGGCTCTGAGGAAGAGGCTGAGTCCTCGAAACTCGTCAGTAAGTTGGTCATCCAGAGTTCCATCTTTGTGGACTCAGATGTTATATGGATTGAACACCTTTGTTCATTGTGATAGGTTGGCTCTGAGAAAGAGGCTGAGTCCTCGAAACGCATCAGTAGTTGGTCATCCGGGTTCCATCTTTGTGGACTCAGATGCTATATGGATTGAACACCTTTGTTCATTATGAAGGGTTGGCTCTGAGGAAGAGGCTGAGTCCTCGAAACTCGTCAGTAAGTTGGTCATCCAGAGTTCCATCTTTGTGGACTCAGATGCTATATGGATTGAACACCTTTGTTCATTATGATAGGTTGGCTCTGAGGAAGAGGCTGAGTCCTCAAAACGCATCAGTAGTTGGTCATCCAGAGTTCCATCTTTGTGGACTCAGATGTTATATGGATTGAACACCTTTGTTCATTGTGATAGGTTGGCTCTGAGGAAGAGGCTGAGTCCTCGAAACGCATCAGTAGTTGGTCATCCGGGGTTCCATCTTTGTGGACTCAGATGCTATATGGATTGAACACCTTTGTTCATTATGAAGGGTTGGCTCTGAGGAAGAGGCTGAGTCCTCGAAACTCGTCAGTAAGTTGGTCATCCAGAGTTCCATCTTTGTGGACTCAGATGCTATATGGATTGAACACCTTTGTTCATTATGATAGGTTGGCTCTGAGGAAAAGGCTGAGTCCTCGAAACGCATCAGTAGTTGGTCATCCAGAGTTCCATCTTTGTGGACTCAGATGTTATATGGATTGAACACCTTTGTTCATTGTGATAGGTTGGCTCTGAGGAAGAGGCTGAGTCCTCGAAACGCATCAGAGTTGGTCATCCGGGGTTCCATCGTTGTGGACTCAGATGCTATATGGATTGAATACCTTTGTTCATTGTGATATGCCTATGTTTTATATTTCCATTTTGAGTATGATACCTACTTTTTTATTCTTTCAATAAAATTTTTTAAACAATAATGCACTAAGCCGGTGTGCCCTCTTTTTGTTTTTTTTTTCATTTGCGTTTAGTGACTTTGGACTACCCCAGTCCGCTGAGGGCAGCAAGCAGTGCATATTCCAGAACATTCACATTGTCATTCCAGCCTCTGCTGAGTCCATCCCCAGCGCAGGAGTAAAGTATTTGATGCATTGCTTTAAATGTGCCTGAACACACAAGCACATAAACAAGCACTGCGTATCAGTAAAAAAAAAATAAAAAATGCAGAAATCTGATTTTCCGGTCCATATTTTTATGTGTATACATGCAAATACACACAAATATGGGCAAATGCCCCACTTCCTGCTTGTGGTGTGTCTAAAATACTGACAAACAAGCACAAGTGATATACATCCCACTCCCATGTTTTCCTGCCAGAAATGTCTGATGCCTATACATCAATACAGTGTGTAAGAGGCCTAAAGTGTAATTCTGAAGTTTGGCTTCACTTTGCTACTGTATTTAAATCTGTTAATACATTTAACACTACCCTCCCCCCAGACTGACAATGCTGCTGTCTGCTGTGTCCTCTGTGCTCCTTCATCCAGAGTGGGGGCACTGCACTACAGGAGGTGTGTTACTGGCCAAATCATCAGGTGAAAACAGAAGGGCAAAAAAGACAAAGAAAAGAAAACTAATGCAGCCACCACATCTAATGATTGGTAAGCTGCAGTATATTAAATTTTTTTATTTTGAGTTTCATGCTCCTTTAAATTTGACTTCTACTATTATGTGAGGTTGTCATGTGATCTATCACCTGGTAAATTCATGTCTACAGAACCTATAATTGTGTCTACACACTTCAGCACAGGCTGTTGGTGGAAAAATGGATGGAAATATTGGTTGGCTCAGCAGAAGTTGGGCTGTGTGGAGTAGATCTACGCTGCATCCAAGGGTCTGTATGTGGGCATACTGGATACAAAGGGGGTAGGAGATTCATGTAGGGTTTTTATTACTTTAATTATAAATATAACACATTTATGTCTCCACATGCTTCCATAAAGTTATCAATTAAAAGAAAACACAAGGCACTGCTACTAAAGTGGTATGAGTTCTGCTGTAGGCTACGTCTAGCTGAGTGTCCTGAATAATAGTCTGAAGTCATATCTCATACGTGTTACCATTCCGAAGAACAAAATGAACATGCAAATAGCTGATAACCCATTTCACGTGGCAGAAGTGTTCTCTAATCTATAAATATTTAATATCATTGGAAAAATTAGCTGGAAAGTTATTGTAATTACAGTGGAAATACTTTCCGGGCAGACAGTGGAAAGACAAATTAACCTCTCAGTAATCAGCTTCTGGAAGCTGGCCAAGTCAGTATTTGGCTTTTGGATTTGCTGTTTTCCATCATCACCCTCTTTCTGAAATAAAAGTTACTGTTCTGCCAAATTAAATAATGGAAGAGAGACTGTCTATACATATTATGAAAGAGGTATTACTCTAGGTTTATACGTTTTATGCAGTCTACTCTAAAGCTAGGTTTACACTTGAGTTTGAGTTTTTATTTTTAAATAACAACCATGCAGGGGCGGACTGACCATTTGGAAACTTGGGCACTGCCCAAGGGCCTGGGGTCAGTAGGGGGCCCCAGAGATGCCCCTGGTATCTTTTTCATAGGCTTTTTTGAGTTTGGACAAGGACACAGGGGCCCCATGTCCCCTATTGCCCGGGGGCCCCATGAGTTTTCAGTCCGCCCCTGCAACCATGGTATACTTTCCTGATCTGTGTATTGCTTTTGCACAGAGCAGCCCCAATCTTCCTCTTCTCAGTACCCCTGCTGGTGCTCCTGGCTGCTCACCCCTGCCGAGTGCCCCCATAGCAACATGCTTGCTATGAGGACACGTGTGTGTTCGCTCTGAAGCTCCACTCTCTTGTGTCCATAGACACACAGAACGTGGCTCAGCCCTGTTCCCTCTTCACTGGCTGTGACTAATAGCAGCAGGGTCCGATGGCTTTCGCTGCTGTTCCAGAGCCCATGAGGGGGGAGAGAGCCAGGACAGCTGCACATTGCTGGATTGAGATCAGGCTCAGGTAAGTAAAAGGGAGGCTGGGGAGAAAGCGGCACACAGAAGGTTTTTTTTACTTTCATGCCTGGAATGCATGAAGGTAAAAAACTGTCAGCCTTTACAACCACTTTAAGTGTTTTTCAAGCATTTTTGTAAGCATGTTTATACTAGCGTTTTCATGAGCATCTTTGTTTTAGCCAATAGAGAGCTTGTGCGACATGTGTTTTTTAGGTGCTCCCGTTCGAACTCTATGTTTTTTTTTGTTTACAATACAGGGTAAACTGTATTATATGTATTATTTAAAATGAAAATGTATAACAAAAATGTGAGCAGCCATACTGACACCATAATAGAACCAACACTCTGAATTGCCCACCTGTTTATAATAAATTTGGGGGAATTAGTGACAATATCTATGTACCAGAGGTCCAAGTTCTGCCCACTCCCTGCAACCCTTGCAAGGATTTTCAGTTAGATTTATTTGTAATTTATTTTACATTACGGAGAGTGCAGTAGGAGTCACGCTTCATAAAAGGGAGATGAAGAGCTGAGCTCTAACGTTGAGCCTAAAATTCCTATTTCAAGCTGTTCTGCTTGTAGACAGGGATGGCGTTCCCGTTTACTTTTTTGGTCACTCCCCTGATAGGTCAGGTTTCCTTTGGGTTTGCCACACCCTCTCCCTATTTCAGGGATGGGAGGAGTTACCCCAGGATCTTTTTGGGAATGTCACCCCCTGTGCCTTGGTTAAATTCAAGAAGAACCAGTGGAGGCTTCAGGCCTATTGGGACCTGAACTTTGAGTAGCATTACAGCACCCCTCCTGTAAAATATGTGAAAACTGTAGCGCTACTCTGAAAATAGCTGCTGCATTTTGGGGGCTTTTCAGCACCCACAGCCAGGCAACATACATTTTCCATACACTCTAAATGGCTCCAGAAAACTGTCTAGGGGTTTTGGTTTTATTTTTTGAAAGAACTTGGATAGGGTTATAGGGATGCATGGGATGCCCAGAACTAAACAACTTGGATGACTCTTGAGGACTTGCTAATGTCTCTGGCTACTAAGAACTGACTTCAGCAGTGCTGCCCACCTGAGGGAATGATGATGCAACTAAAGGAATATCAAAAAGGTTCCAAACTTGAATGTGCTGGCACTGCTCCTGACAGGAAAAACAAATCACTTGGCTACTACTATCCCAGCTAGAGATATGGGGGTGCTTCTGGCTGCTTTGCGCTGGCTCTAAGCTGTCCCCTAGTCTTAGACATGTAAAGATTTGCGCCTTACTATCTTCTCTGAACAGGCTTGGAGTAAGTTGAAATGGATGTCCCATTCGCTCTCTCGCTTCTGGCCTTCCTTCTGCCCAGGGGCAGAGCCCCCCAGCACAGGGGTCTCCTCCACACCATTATACCACAGGTTCTACTCCCAGACTGCCAGGCTCCTAAGTATTTATGGTTTGTTCCCCCACCTACTGAACTTTGCCTCCTCAGGGATTGGTGGGAACTCCATAAATATTCAGGTTGCAGTTTCTACTCCTTCACCCACTAGATCCTAGAAATATCCATAGCATTCCAGAAAATGGGGGAAGGTAGCAGAGCCACATTCCTTGGAGCACTGCACAGTCTGCTCCTCTGCCTACAGAAGAGCCAAACTAAATTTACCTCACCTAGCAACAAGGAGAGTGCTACACCTGTAATGTGTGTATTGACCACTCGATGATCCAAGATGTTGATGAGATGCCTATTGACTCTATAATACAAAATGTTCTGGACTGTTAGATTTGACATTGCACAAACGTCATTCCAAGTTGTGGAGAGCTGTATCCTGTTTATTACTGAAAAAGTTAAAGGATAAGTTCACTTTTTAACAAAAAATAATAAATGCACATTTGTGTGTAGGTAAAAGAAGTGTACATGTGTTATTTTTTGGTCCTGGAACCACTAAAGCATTGCACCAGTGATCAGAAGATCATTGGTGCCATGCAGGACTCCTGCAGACCTGTCAGTGTATCTTGTGTGCTCGTACATCATATGAGCAAGCAGATACATTCTGACAGGTAGAATCAATGAGTTACCACAATGCTCAATAGTGTCATGGTTCATTGAGAACTACAAGCCAGCAGCCACATAGGCTGTTGGTACTTGTAGTTCATTCATTCACAGAACTCTATAAATGAGTGACATGGCCAGGTGGGCGGAGTCCCGCACAGCCGCTGTTTTCAAAAAGTGACAGCTAGGAACTTCTCTCCGCAAAGGTTGCCAGGACTTGTAGTTTTCTCATTCACCGAATACTGTGAATGAGTGATGTGGCCAGGCTGGCGTTAGCCTGCACAGCTGCATTTTTTTAAAATTGTGATAGCTAGCGAGGGGAGCAGATCCCCTACTAACTGTCCAAACGGGGGAGCAGGGGGGGTGTGGGGGCCGGTCCGTTTGTAACATGTTGCATGTTACACCCTGAATATGTTTTAATAAGTTTTTAGCAAAAAAATTCCTAGCCTCATTACTGTCCCCTGGGTGTTTGGATGTTTTCAGAGCCCTAAGGTGACCACAGAAAATGAAGGCCTATGTGAAAGGTGCACCATGCATTAAGGGGGGGGGGGGAGGTCACTGATGAAAAGGAGGATGAGAGAGTACCCTTGCATCTGTTCATGTGGACATAGTATGAGCTTGGCATATGAACTAATCAATTGCCTGAGGGTCTGTCTGTTAGGCTAGGTTCACACCTATGCAGTTTGCGTTTGATCCATTTCTGCAGTGCTTTTTGCGTTGCGTTTTGCATTTTTGCACATGCGTTTTGATGCGGTTTTGATGCATTTTGCGGGTTGTTTTTTTCAACTTGTTGCGGGGCAGAATAAAACACAAAATGCGCCAAAAACACGTAAAAAAAGCACTACATGCTTTTCCGCAGCGTCCCCATTGAAGTCTATAGAACCAAAAACGCAACATTTTATGTTTAAAAAAAGCCCTGACCCTTTCCAAAAACACACCGGATGAAAACGCGGAGATGTGAACTTGTCCCATAGGAAATCATGTTAAATGGACTGTTGTGCGTTTCTGCAAAATGCAGCGGAAAATGCATAGGTGTGAACCTAAACTTAGGAAGCATGCTCAACTGCATGATCTGATCACATGTATGGAACAGAGCAGCCTGCCTACATACTGATAGCCAATTTACACTGCTGTGTTCTCTGCAATCTCCTCATTCCTGTAATAAAATTCCTGCCTCTGCTCTTTGTCTACAGCAATTTAGGGCCTAAAATCTATTTAAAATTGTCCTGCTGCTGGCCTATTTTCCGCTGCTGTATTCTCTGTGGCCTCTTCACTCTTCTAGTAAAAACCCAGCCTGTGCACTTTGCGGTTGACTTACTTTTTTTGTCAAAGCTTAACTGAACAACCTAAAGTTAGAAGCTGATTGGCTACCATGCACAGATGCACCAGATTTTAACTCTACAGTTTTAGTAAATCAACCCCCTTGTTTCTAGTAATTGTGGACTTAAAAGTGTTATTTAACCACTTGACCTCCAGAAGGTTTTACCCCCTTTGTGAGCAGGGCATTTGTTTTGCTATTTAGCACTGTGCTACTGTGCTGGCAAATGCTCAGTAATGTAACATTGTACCCAAATTTAATTGATATAATTTTTTTCACCAAATAGAGCTTTCTTTTTTTTGGTATTTGATCATCACTGGTTTTTTTTATGTTTTATTATATAAATGAAAAAAGACTGAAATTTAAAAAAAAAAAAAATATTTTCTACTCTCTGTTACAACACATATTTAATAAAAATAAATGTTTTCTATTTAGGCCAAAATGTATTCTACTACATGTGTTTGGTGAAAAAAAATCCCAGTAAGTGTATATCATTTGGTTTGTGTGAAAGCTATAGCGTCTAAAAACTATGGTATAATATTTATTGGGATTTACACAGCTATTGACACTATACTAGTAACAGCGGTGATCAGCTTATAGTGTGACCATGATAGTGTGGTGGATAATCTGGCGCTAACAGACACTGGCTGGGAGGTACACTAACTGACTACCTTACACTGACGTATCTAGTGACACTAATACAGTGATCAGTGGGCAGCACAGTGGCTAAATGGTTAGCACTTCTACCTGGCAGTACTAGGGTCGCTGGTTCGAATCTCGCCTGAGGCACCAACTGTCCTGGAGTTTGCATGTCCTCCCTGTGCCTGCGGGGGTTTCCTCCCACACTCCAAAGACATGCTGGTAGGTGAATTGGCTCCTGTCTAAATTGGCCCTAGTATGTGTATGTATGAATGTAAGTTAGGGACCTTAGATTGTAAGCTCCTTGAGCGTTAGGGACCGATGTGAATGTACAATATATATGTAAAGTGCTGCATAAATTGACAGTGCTATATAAGTACCTGAAATAAATAAAATAAATCAGTGATAACATTGGATGGGAAGTGGTTAACATCAAGGGGCAATGAAGGGGTTAACTCTGCGCCTAACAAGTGTTATGTGTGCTGCTTTTTACTCACAGATCTGGCCACTTTTTCTTACTGAACTGGGAGTTGATTTCAGGGAAAAGAGACAACCAGATCGCTGTACAGAGTTCTGTGTGTTTGTAAACACAGAACTCTTTGCTGTGATTGGTCACAGCCAATTAGCAGGAATAGAGCCTAAATCATTGGCTGAAACCTGCTGAGAAACTTGTGCTGTGTCCAATCACAGCACAGGTCAGCAGGGGGTGCTTGCACTCGCGCCTGAAACCTGCAGTGCATGTACTGTGGGTGGGTAGCAAGCTGTTAAAACTGTTCTGCTGATGGCCAATTGTTCACTGCTGTATTCTCTGCAGTCTATTAATTCATGTAGAAAAAACCCTACACGTGCTCTTTGTCTTTAGCAAATTTGGGCAAAATATTGCTATTTAAGGTCTCATTCACACTGGCACCCGTACAGTGAGAATAAAGCATTTGTTTTTACATGTCTGGAGCTGCCTGGAGCTGTGTGCAGGCAGCCTGTGTTAGTGAATGGAGATGCAGCTGCTGTTCAGACACACTTACACATTAGGGTTTGACAAGCAAGCAGGGGCAGGTGTGCTGCCAAAAGGCCCCCGTCAAACTTGGTTGTGCGGGTGCATCCGTAAAGGTGTTGTGTCTCTGTTCACTAACATCAGTTGCCTGAATGCAGCTCTAGGTAGCTCCAGATGCGCAAACAAATGCCTAATTTATTCTGTGTCAACCTCAGTGCCAGAGTGAATGAGGCCTAAAACTGTTCTGCTGTTGACCAATTTCACATTGCTCTATACTCTGCAGTCTTTTCATTCCTGTATTAAAACTTCCGACATTAAAATGGAACTAAACTCATCTAATTTTACTGTTTTCCTTCCCAAAAAGCAAGGCATGCCATGAATAATAAGGTCACTTGTACTTGTACTCGCAATTGATCAGTCAAACCATCAAATGACTGGTGTCATAACTGATCACATGGACAGTACCATGGAAACTCCAGGGCAAACAGGGGCTAAGATGGCAGCTTCCTTGGCAGTAAACGATAGAAGGGTTTTTGGTTGGGTTAAATCCAGCGCCTGTATAATCCAATTTATAATCGGATTTGTCATGCCTCAGTTCAGTAAGCAAGCAATACATAAGACCAGAAACAAAGAGGAGCAGGGCCTTTGGCACTTAAAGCTGAACAGGAAAGAAAAATGCTACCTTGTTGAGGAGCTGCACATGCACTGCAAGGGGTAAATCCTTGTTTATGCCTAGGGGACTTGGAAAAAAAGTTCTCCTAAACCAAGCCAGTCTCTTTCTCCCTGCACTCCACCGGTCTTAGGTCCTATGATGAAGTCTGAATTTATTTGAGGCCGCTGAAGAACAGTCCACTTCCAAGCATGGGGGAGTGCCAGGGAAGTGCAAAATCAGGTATGTAAAAGCACTTTCTTGTTTCCTAGGCAGAAATAAGCATTTAACACTTGCTACTACTGCAAAGGAGGGCTTTTTCCCAGAGTTGGACTTTATTTGGCTTCAAGAAAAAGGTGTACATTATTTTACTTTCTCCATTATTCATTGAATGTCACAGGAATTTAGTAATTTGTATACATTTGGGACATCCTAAAGAAGTTCAACTGATGGGTGGGCCATAGCCTCCAAGAGATCTAACAGATGTGGAGATTAAGCTACCAGGGCATGTGAAGGGATCAGCTCCTGGCTTGATGAAAGGCTTGATGAAAAACGGCCAACCAAATTTGGAAACGGAGGGCATGGAGGATCAGTTTGGTGCTTTAGAGCAGCTAGATATGACTAAGGGGAAACTGCCATGTAGAGGCCAACCAATCATCCACCATAATGAAAGCAGGTGGGACAACAAGCTACCTTAATACAACAAATAAAAACTTAGACCAACAGCTAAAATGTATATAAATGTATAACTGGGCTAAGTCCCAGAGAATAAACCACATGCATTAAGATAAGTGAAAATTATCTTTAAATTGAACAGCATAATTGCCTTTAGCAACTCAACTTCATCATGTCCAATAAAAAAAAAATGGATAGCTGGAATAAAGGCCTAAGCCAAGCATATATAACCCTTGACTTCGGGGAAAGGAAGTTTGGACAGATAAGATGGGGTTGATTTGCTATAAGCAAAAAAACTTCCCGTTACAAGGAAGGTACCTGTAAAGCTTAGTGAATGGGTTGCTGACCAATCAAGTGCAAGAAAAAATGTTTTTGTTATTTTACTTGCACATGATTGGGTATGCTTTGCAAAGTGAAATTTCACCACATGATGAAAATTTCCTTGCAAAGTGCAACTTCCCTTGGAGCCTAGTTGCCTTCAGTAAATCAACCCTGATATGTCAAGAAAAAGGACCAATCAGACCACAGTTGAGGTATAAATAGAAAACTCTTAACACTTGACTTTAGGGAGAGGAAGGTTTATAAGAAAAATGTAACCTGATTGACAGGTAATCTCTTAAAAATACATGCAAAGATGTGAGAGGGGTAGTAGCCCTGACTCCTTTTAATGAAGATGGTGCGGTGATCAACAACAGCAGTATAAAAAGGGTAGGCAAGTGTGAGTATATATCAAAATGTGAGTTAATGTATACGCCACTTAGACTAGAAGGACAAGAAGTCCTTCCAATCAGCACCACAAGGCATTTTAAAGGTGTGTAGCCAACTGACCAGTTGTTAAATATATGATTCTAGGAATCATTAAATCTAGCCCTGCAAGGGGTAGAATCCTAGATAGAAGAGCTAGGGTAGAGATCCCAGTGCTGGTACTAGGAATATTATTATAATTTTATTAGGAAAAAGATGGAATGTAGGGAGACTTCCTCAGAAGGCCATCAAGTAGTCACAAAAGAGCAAATACCTGTATCTTCCCATAATCAAGTCCCACAAAGAAAAAACTGTGTGGCCACAATGACATAATCAGTACTGTTCAGCATAGGAAGTAGGTCACCCAGTCATGGGGCAATTCTCACATTTTTTACTGATGTCAAAATCTATCAGCCTTTAGATGAGGTCCAGTGGAGTTCAAATTAAAAGACCGCCTAAGTGAGGAATCTTCCAATGAAGTTGTCTGTTCTGCAGAATCAGTCAAGAAGACAAAATAATATCTCAAAGAGTGAACAAGAGAATATATACATTAGGAGAATCATCCTAGCATGAGAGAAAGGGGTTTTTCCTTTCCTGATCAGCATCTATTAGTGGGAATTCTTGCTCCAAAAGTACCAGCTTAGTCTGCTAGCTAATTTCCAGATTCTCCAACTCAGAAAGCGAATGGAAAAGGAATGAGAGACGACAAGAGAAGAGGGACTATGTGAAATGGAGTTCTCCCAAACCCCACAAATCCCTCAAGAGGTGAATGGAAAAGAATCTGCTATAATCAAGGAGTGAAGATGATTGGACCCTTGACTTGGCATGAACCTGGGAAAATGTAAGACACTGACACTTTTCAGGTCTCCTGAGCACTCCACAGGGGGGACACCAGGATAAGGCACTAGGGTTGGCATAAGAGTCAGTGACGTGGGTAAGATCCAAAACTACTGGAGTACATTGAAAAGGCAGGTTCTTGCAAGGTAAGAGATTAGTAGAAACTGATTCTTGTTGATCTTGCAAGTCATGAGATAGGGAAAGGGCTGAGGAGAGTCAAAGAATGCAGCCAACCATAAAGGAAATGGATCAGGATCAGAGATCCCTAAGTGCACGCAGGGAAACGCAGACTTCAGATAAGTTATAAACAATTTATTAACACTAACAATACAAACATAAACGCAGTGCAATACTAAAACATAACACAGTGCAAACGAACCAAACCAAACCACCCACAGATAACAGTACATACAGTGCAAGCGTCGTCAGGCAGGCCGGGTCAATATCAATCGGGCAGGTAGGTACAGGGGAGCAAGCGGAGAATAGTCAGGTCACGAGCAGGGTACAGCAACTAACAGGCAGGTAGGTACAGGGGGTCAGGCAGAGAATGGTCGGGGTCACAAGCCAGGGATCAGAACAGGAGAAGTCAGCAGAGGTCAGAATCAAGCCGGGTCAGCAACAAGACAGGAACAGGAACAGGAGCAGGATGCAGGAACAAGATACAGGGCCCAGGAAAAACACAACACCAAGGCAGAGTCTGCAGGTCTGAATGTCCCTTAAATACACCAGTATAATTAGTTCCAGGTGTTTGACTGGCTGCAAGGGTTGAGTCTCTGATTGCTGGGAGCACCCGCTGGCCAGCCCTGGTACTGCAGCTCATAAGGCAGATGAGTCCCACTATTGCTGGCCAGTCCATTCCTGACAGTACCCCCCCCAAGGAGCGGCCTCAGGACGCTCCAAACAGTCCTAGCTGGGCAAAAAGTTCCACCGCCCGGGTCTGGTAACTGGCGGGATATCAAAGACTGGCACACCGGGCAGACTCCGGGCAGCGGCACACCCGGCAGGGGCACACCGGGCAGAGGCACATCGGGCAGACTCGGGCAGAGGGCAGAGGCACATCGGGCTGGACTCCGGGCAGAGGCACATCGGGCTGGACTCCGGGCAGAGGCACATCGGGCTGGACTCCGGGCAGAGGCACATCGGGCTGGACTCCGGGCAGAGGCACATCGGGCTGGACTCCGGGCAGAGGCACATCGGGCTGGACTCCGGGCAGAGGCACATCGGGCTGAGATTACCAGGCAGAAGCAGCAGGCACCGGGCCCCCAAGCGGGCAGCAGCACTCAGCCGGGCCCCCAGGAGGGGCGACAGGCATCGGGCCCCCAGGCGGGGCGACAGGCATCGGGCCCCCAGGCGGGGCGACAGGCACATCGGGCCCCCCCAGGAGGGGCGACAGGCATCGGGCCCCCCGGCGGGGCGACAGGCATCGGGCCCCCAGGCGGGCGACAGGCAGGGCCCCCAGCGGGGCCAGGGGCCCCCAGGAGGGGCGACAGGCATCGGGCCCCCAGGCGGGGCGACAGGCATCGGGCCCCCAGGCGGAGCGACAGGTCTCGGGCCTGGGCCCCCAGGCGGAGCGGCGGGCGCCGGACCCCCAGGCGGAGCGACAGGTCTCGGGCCCCCAGGCGGAGCGGCGGGCATCGGGCCCCCAGGTGGAGCGACAGGTCTCGGGCCCCCAGGCGGAGCGGACGGGCGCCGGACCCCCAGGCGGAGCGACAGGTCTCAGGCTCCCAGGCGGAGCGGCGGGCGGGCATCGCCCGAGACCCCCAGGCGGAGCGACAGGTCTCGGGCCCCCAGGCGGAGCGGCGGGCACCGGTCACCAGGCACGACAGTGGGCACCGAGTCGTCTGGCAAGACTGCGGGCACCGAGTCGTCTGGCAAGACCGCGGGCACCGAGTCAACTGGCGGAACAGCGGGCATCGAGTCAACTGGCGGAACTGCGGGCACCGAGTCGTCTGGCAAGACTGCGGGCACCGAGTCGTCTGGCAAGACTGCGGGCACCGAGTCGTCTGGCAAGACTGCGGGCACCGAGTCGTCTGGCAAGACTGCGGGCACCGAGTCGTCTGGGCAGAAGTCAGCGGGCACCGAGTCGTCTGGCAAGACTGCGGGCACCGAGTCGTCTGGCAAGACTGCGGGCACCGAGTCGTCTGGCGGAAGACTGCGGGCACCGAGTCAACTGGGAGACAGCGGGCACCGAGTCAACTGGCGGAAGACTGCGGGCACCGAGTCGTCTGGCAAGACTGGCGGGCACCGAGGCGGGGAACAGCGACGGCATCGGCCCCCAGGCGGAGCGGCGGGCACCGAGTCGACCAGGACTGGGGCGACAGGCATCGGGCCCCCAGACTGCGGGCGAGTCGGGCAGATCGGGCCCCCAGGCGGGGCGGGCAGGCATCGGGCCCCCCGGGCACGAGTCGTCTGGCAAGGTGCTGGGGCCCCGAGGCGGAACTGGCAAGACTGCGGGCACCGGTCCCCCAAGACTGCGGAGCGACCGGTCGTCTGGCAAGACCGGGCCCCGAGTCGTCTGGCGGAGACGCGGGCACGGGCGGGAGTCGGGCACTGGCGGAGCGGGCACCGAGGTCTGGCAGGACTGCGGGCACCGAGTCGTCTGGCGGACTGGCGGGCACCGAGGACCCCCAGGCGGAGCGACAGACTGGCTCGGGCCCCCAGTCGTCGGCAAGCGGCGGGCACCGAGTCGTCTGGCAAGACAGCGGGCACCGAGTCGTCTGGCAAGACTGCGGGGGCACCGAGTCGTCTGGCAAGACCAGCGGGCACCGAGTCAACTGGCGGAACAGCGGGCACCGAGTCAACTGGCGGAACTGCGGGCACCGAGTCGTCTGGCAAGACTGCGGGCACCGAGTCGTCTGGCAAGACTGCGGGCACCGAGTCGTCTGGCAAGACTGCGGGCACCGAGTCGTCTGGCAAGACTGCGGGCACCGAGTCGTCTGGCAAGACTGCGGGCACCGAGTCGTCTGGCGGACTGCGGGCACCGAGTCGTCTGGCAAGACTGCGGGCACCGAGTCGTCTGGCAAGACTGCGGGCACCGAGTCGTCTGGCAAGACTGCGGGCACCGAGTCGTCTGGCAAGACTGCGGGCACCGAGTCGTCTGGCAAGAGCGGGCACCGAGTCAACTGGCGGAACAGCGGGCACCGAGTCGTCTGGCAAGACTGCGGGCACCGAGTCGTCTGGCAAGACTGCGGGCGGGCACCGAGTCGAGTCAACTGGCGGAACAGGAGCGGGGGCATCGAGTCAACTGGCGGAACAGCGGGGGCACCGAGTCGTCTGGCAAGACTGCAAGGCACCGAGTCGTCTGGCAAGACTGCGGGGGCACCGAGTCGTCTGGCGGAACAGCGGGGCATCGAGTCAACTGGCGGAACAGCGGGCACCGAGTCGTCTGGCAAGACTGCGGGCACCGAGTCGTCTGGCAAGACTGCGGGCACCGAGTCGTCTGGCAAGACTGCGGGCACCGAGTCGTCTGGCAAGACTGCGGGCACCGAGTCAACTGGCGGAACAGCTGGGGGCACCGAGTCAACTGGCGGAACTGCGGGCACCGAGTCGTCTGGCTGGCAAGACTGCGGGCACCGAGTCGTCTGGCAAGACTGCGGGCACCGAGTCGTCTGGCAAGACTGCGGGCACCGAGTCAACTGGCGGAACAGCGGGCAATCGAGTCAACTGGCGGAACTGCGCACCGAGTCGTCTGGCAAGACTGCGGGCACCGAGTCGTCTGGCAAGACTGCGGGCACCGAGTCGTCTGGCAAGACTGCGGGCACCGAGTCAACTGGCGGAACAGCAGGCATCGAGTCAACTGGCGGAACTGCGGGCACCGAGTCGTCTGGCAAGACTGCGGGCACCGAGTCGTCTGGCAAGACTGCGGGCACCGAGTCGTCTGGCAAGACTGCGGGCACCGAGTCAACTGGCAAGACTGCGGGCACCGAGTCGTCTGGCGGAACAGCGGGCATCGAGTCAGGCTGGAACAGCGGGCACCGAGTCGTCTGGCAAGACTGCGGGCACCGAGTCGTCTGGCAAGACTGCGGGCACCGAGTCGTCTGGCAAGACAGCGGGCACCGAGTCAACTGGCAGGAACAGCGGGCATCGAGTCAACTGGCGGACTGCGGGCACCGAGTCGTCTGGCAAGACTGCGGGCACCGAGTCGGGCACTGGCAAGACTGCGGGCACCGAGTCGTCTGGCAAGACTGCGGGCACCGAGTCATCTGGCAAGGCAGTGGGCACCGAGTCACCAGGTACGACAGCGGGCTCTGAGTCAATTGGCACGACAGCGGGCACACACGGATCAGGGTACCGGATCATCTGGATCAACAGCAGGCATCGAGTCAACTCAACTGGCCTAATAGGATCATCAGGCTGGATCAGTTCATTATGCTGGGTAGAGGCATCCGGCTGAGTAGAGGGCATCAGGCTGAGTAGAGAGGCTGAGTAGAGGCTTCAGGCTGAGTAGAGGCTTCAGGCTGAGTAGAGGCTTCAGGCTGAGTAGAGGCTTCAGGCTGAGTAGAGGCTTCAGGCTGAGTAGAGGCATCAGGCTGAAGAGAGGCATCAGGCTGAGTAGAGGCATCCGGGCTGAGTAGAGGCATCAGGCTGAGTAGAGGCTTCAGGCTGAGTAGAGGCTTCAGGCTGAGTAGAGGCTTCAGGCTGAGTAGGGCATCAGGCTGAGTAGAGGCTTCAGGCTGAGTAGAGGCTTCAGGCTGAGTAGAGGCATCAGGCTGAGTAGAGGCATCAGGCTGAAGAGAGGCATCAGGCTGAAGAGAGGCATCAGGCTGAACCACGGAAGGCAGGTTCTCAGACGGTAGGCTCACCGGTTTGGATACTGGCAGGATGGTACTGGTTGGAAAGAATTTTCGCTTTTTTCTGGTTTTAACTACTGGGGCACTGCAAGTAAACGCAGGTCTGCAAATGAATGGAGCAGCTGGAGACAGAGAAGAGCTGGAGGATGGAACAGGGGAAGGAACAGTCGCTACAGAGGGCTTCTTTACAGGGTTAAAGGCAGGATAGGTGCAGCGAGTGGGAACAGGGTACTGACATGCGGTAGATAGCCAAGTATACTGGGCTGTAACTGGAGGAGCTGTTGGGAATACAGGAGTAGAGCTTTGAGGAAATAGATTAGAAGCAGGACTGGGTCTTTGTAAGCTGACTGAGGCTGGGTGTAACAAATCTGTCCATGTCTGCAGTATGGGTTGAACAAAGCTGAGCTTACACAAAGCCTGTCTGACCAAAGACTGCACTGCGTTTATACAATCTCTTAGTACCTGTGGTGAACATGTGGAATAACGCTCCAGAAAGTAACCCACATCATCCTCTAATAACCATACCAGGGACTCTACCTGGTCTGCACTAAATGGTGGCAAAAATTCATCCCTGCATTCGGGGGTACCAGATGAAACCAACTCAGCACAAACCTCAATCAATGGCTGCACCTCAGAGAACTCTGTGCCCTGATCTACTAGAACATGAGCGAGCCGTATACATTCTAGCAGTTCATCCCGGGTATACTCCTTCAGAGTTTGATAAGCATACTCCCTGTCATCAAACACTAGCAGATATAAATACGCAACCTCATCCAGATCCATCCTTCCCATCAACAAACCAAGATGGCTTCCCTGTGCAGCCACTTCTGGTCAGGATTGGCCTTGGTGTAATGTCAGGGCTCCCGGGTATGACCAGAGGTGTGTGACTGACGCAGGGAAACGCAGACTTCAGATAAGTTATAAACAATTTATTAACACTAACAATACAAACATAAACGCAGTGCAATACTAAAACATAACACAGTGCAAACGAACCAAACCAAACCACCCACAGATAACAGTACATACAGTGCAAGCGTCGTCAGGCAGGCCGGGTCAATATCAATCGGGCAGGTAGGTACAGGGGGAGCAAGCGGAGAATAGTCAGGTCACGAGCAGGGTACAGCAACTAACAGGCAGGTAGGTACAGGGGGTCAGGCAGAGAATGGTCGGGGTCACAAGCCAGGGATCAGAACAGGAGAAGTCAGCAGAGGACAGAATCAAGCCGGGTCAGCAACAAGACAGGAGCAGGAGCAGGATGCAGGAACAAGATACTTACTGCTGTAAGATGACAGAAGCAGAAATTTTTATATGGTGCCCAATGGTACCGATTGTGATGTTAGCTCCCAGTGCTTCAACTGGCCTTACTCACTAAGTTAGCGCTCTGTGGCTAACTAACCATTACACAAGGGTCTGGTAAACAAAGTAATGCATAACCCAGTGATCAAAGCTCACACTCCAAGCTAGCCCTGCAGTCTTCCAGTCTTGTGTGGTCAGGGTCCAACCATCAAAGCTATTGCTGAGAATATGCTGATTCAGATAGCTGCTATGTATAGACTGGCTCGAGCAGCACAGTGTTTTTAAGTCCTAATTGAAGTTACCAAAGAAAACATATTTGTGGTGTAGCACCCTCCTAGAAGGCTAGGGGGAGCTAGATTCTAAATTGTTAGTCAGTGGCTGAGAAAGCAGTCTGTGGTAATAGCCAAAGGGAGGTCAAATTCAGGTCAGAGCTGAGAGGCTCTGCAGACCAGCTCTCTGAGACTTTCCCCTACTCTACAGTTTTGGAGAAAATTCTAGAAGCAGTGGGAGGGGGTAAAGAGTGGCTGGTCTTCACTCTGACCAATTCCCAACAAGAGACTTGGCATTGGGCCAGGACAGCCCTTAAGAGTGGGAGAGCCTGCTCAGCAGGCAGGAGAGTTTGGGTGGAAGATGGAGAAGTGAGAGGCTAGAGAGCAGGGGGCCCAAATGGGAAGGGTTTGCCTACAGGCAGAGGAGCTGGAAAGGAGGAAAGTTCAGGACCTCATCAGCACCCAGAGCAAGGAATACCTATGCAGCAGGGAGGGAGTAGCCCAGTGGAAAACCTGAGAGCAGCCACTGACCCAGCAGCTCATAGGAGGAGGATTGAGTGAGTAGACCTGCACCCCTGAGCCAGTAAGAAGAAGAAGCACTCTGGTGGGAAACTGGATTAGCTGCTACCCAGAACTGTCTTACCCTTAAAGTGACAGGCACTGGATCCCCTACCCAGGGATTCACCCAGAACAGCTGGATAGAGGAGTATCTATGGTCTGGGGTGGAACAACAGAAAATGCTGAATGTTGCCATTCCCTTAGGCATCCCATACACCCCTTACCCCATCCAAGTTCAAATTCCCCTAGTAAGTCACCGCAGTAGATAGACTTGTTTTGAATGGACTCGTAGTCTATTGAATCTTGCTCTAGCTCTCCAACTGACAGCCCATACAGAGGTATGGGCAGAGAGGTAGAGTAAGAGTTTGCAGGAGTTTTACATTGCACATGTGATCCACTGTAATTGTATTTTTTTTTTTTTGCTTAAATACCTTTTCCAATATGACGCATCTATGGCCTGAAGAAGGAGCGCATGCTCTGCAACACGTCTGCACATCAGATTCAGTTGTGACATCACTTCCATCTTGACACTGCATTCCACACTGGCTAGGAAGCCTTGGGAGCCTCCGGAGCTGTCCACCAGCAGGACCCCAGTAATCTTTTCATCTTGCCGAACTGGGACCGGAATTCTACATATACAGAGCGCCTGTTTTTATCTTTGTTTGTGAGTGCAATTCCTTTTATTAGTAAACCATGTATTTTACATACTACACTTAGTAGGCGCTTGTCCTATTGTCACAGAGCTGCTTCATTGCTCCACAGACTAGACTGCAATCAAGTGGACTGTTTTACCCTTGACTCTATCAGTCCATTTGGACTTTCTATTTCATAGCAGTATATTTACAGTGGATTGGTTGCCAAGACCTCTCACCCATTTGTGCCAATTCCCTGTTCCTTTATTGGCTGTATAACCTAATGTCTAAGAATTGGTAATTCCTCAATAGACAATAACAAAATTATCTTTATGTAAAATAAGACTACAGATAAAAGAACTTAC